GTTTCTCTGATAAACTATTAAAGAAATTGATTTGACAATACATTTGACAATCTTGGAACTTCTATAGAGTCATTTTAAGAAGTCAATTGAACTGTTTAGGTAGGTAAACGCGGGTATATTTTTTATATTTTTCGGGTAAACTAGGGTATATTTTAATGAAAAACCAAAGTAACACACAGAAGAATTATATTTTTATCTGAAAAAATAAAGAATTCATCGTTAAAAGAATTAGTATCATTTCAAGTTTTAAGATCGCATGTACTCGTTAAACGCAGTTAACTGGTTAAGTACTTCTATATAAATTTTTCATGTTTAGTATGATATCATTTCAAGTTATCTCATACAGAACTGAATATTATTATTAAATATAGTAATTATCTACTACCATACCTAAATAAAAGGGCTGAGAAGAAACAACAACAGCACGTTTCATTTCAAAATTCAATCTTTACTAACCAATCCATTCAATAATGCTTCCGTATAATCGACATTCCCATTATTAAAAAAAGATATGTGTCTAATCCTTTAATAGGATCAACTTTCTACATAAAATTCCATAAAAGTGAATGGTTGTCACTTCGTCGCGTTCCCATGATAATGCTGATTCTCTCAGAAGCTCGAGAAATCTACGCGGGAGGAATGTTCACAGATTTCTGGAGCGAGAAATTGCAAATGAAACTGTTCTGTAGAAAATGTCGCTGTTGTTACTCCAGCTGAAACCAGGGAATTCGGTTCACCGAAAATGATTGACCTCGTTGAATGCTCGATTCGGTAAAAGCGGCATAGTTTCGGCTCGTTTCTAGATCTCTTTCCCCATTGCCGACCGCAATAATGGTGGATCGTTACTTTTTGCAAACTGGAAATCGCGGCTGTAAATCGCGGAACTTGCTCCAATTTCGAAAGGCAGGAAAGTGTAGCAGGAAATCGGGGAAACGATTATCGATCGTGATCCCGAGGCCCGAGTGAGTCATCGCGGGGTTTGGAACAGCAATAAACGCCCGGCGAACGGACGGGCGGCCATTTTTGCGCTCGTTTCAAACGCAACGCTCGGGGTGAAAGGATTGTTATATGTAGTATATTTAAGACGCACTTTCTATTTCAATTCGAAAAAAAAACATCGGGTTCATAAAAAATGTATAAAGTTTTCTAATCGAACCGAGCCATAATTGCGGCGCAGGGAATAATTAAAACGCGGATAGCGAGAAGTGGAATAAGTGAAACATATGATGTTAAAGTCGGTACGAAAGTACATCGAATTAGCGTGAAACTGAACGCGGTGCGTTAACGGTAAAAATCATCGTGGTGCTGGAAAGTATGTAATCGTTGCAATCGAGGTTCTGGTTTCAGTTTTTAATTTGATTTGACGGGGAAAGTGAAGTATACGCGTAACGATTGGATGTAAATATTGGATTCGGTTAGAAATAGCTTTCGCTGGGAATTGAATAATTAGAGGAAAATAATTATTGTTGAGTATTATGAAATATTCGATGTTCATTTCGTCGACTCATGTTGTTTGTGATTCAACAATGGAACAGAATGTTAGGATACTAGAAAAAAATTGGAATGGAAGTTATTTATTGTTCCATTAAAAAAATAATATGGTCAACAAGTTTTATTCAACACTGAATTACACGATAATCAGTGCAACGTTTGTGTTTACATGAAACACAGCTGAGGACAGATAAAAAGCGATTCTGCGAATGGATAAAAATAGAATAAATTAATTACAGTTAGACTTTAATGAATCCGTTAGTTATAAATACATAACTTGAGCATCTATTTGACATGTTATATAACTTTCTGTTTTCAACGATACATTGACATAACACATTGAAGAATGTAGATAACTACTGTTCAAACGAATCTAAAATCTTCAACAAACTTAGCAAACAAGTAAAAACTTTCACTGATAAACAAAATAATTAAACATAACTTTTCTCGTTCATACATTTTTCTTTGGAACAACGACAATTGAATTTCTTGCATATAATGCTAAAAACTGTTAATGTTCTTATTTTTTTCTTGTTAATCTATTCATTATTATTATCTCGTAGTTTTAGTTACTGTTATTACGTTCTTATATTTTCAAACACATATTTGAATTTGAAAAGAGTACAAGAAACTACAATTACTATATGGTAGTACTAATAAAGTAGCTTTTATTTGTTTAGCAATATTTAGAAACTAAGTAGATAAATTGAGTACCATAACAAGATAAGAAAATGTACGTAGAACCAAGCTCATTTGTTCAATTTAACGGCTCAAAAACGAATCATTCTGTAATTTTACGTTATTACTCCGGGGGCTGAATCTATTTCGAGATAACTGTACACAGAACGGTGTAGAAGGAAAGGAAAATAAAGCTTCTAAACGCAACCAGACAAACCCAACCGACGAACCGTAATTGATACACAGTATAGACACCTTGGACGTGCAGTGACTTTCATCCACATATATCGCACTCGAAATTAGATTCTTGTACTCTACCACAGGCTCGAAGAAAGGCACCGACGTAACCTCTCCTAAATGGAAGCCCCCACTATAATGGGCGCCAATAAGGATAAAACGAAGTCCCACATATACGCCTGTCATTAATTATTGAAGTTTTATTCCATCGGAATCGAGTGATACTCATAGAGAGTAGGTTCTGATTTTTATTTCCAAGTATATGAATTTTTATGTATAACTTAGTCATTGCTAACAATTTTAATTAAAAATTGATTCTGATTTTTTATTTTAAATGTTTGAATTTGTATACACTTCCTGGCCAATAATAACAATTTTAGTTACTATACCGTGAATATTGATGCATTTAAGTTTCTTTCGGGGTGAGCTGAACATTTTAATAAGATGCTATGAAGAATTGTCCTTCATTAAAGCAGATTTTTACAATATTTTTGTATCTTTCTACAGTAACAGTAAAATGATAATAATTTTGTTTTATATTTATTCTGTGTATCTTAATGTTGCTATTCTCTGCATTTCCTTGAAAAACGACTTATATTTTTATATTATAACAGAAAAGAAACAGGAATTTATATATTTTCTAATTTGCATAAACGGTATTGTTGAATGATATTTATCGTATATATGTTTGGCAATAAGATTGCTATTACATCAGATTGCATGACATTAAAACAATCCGATTGTGTAGTTGCATGTATGGTTGCTCGTTTTTTGGGGTATATCAGATTGACTCCAGCCTGGTAGTTACGTAACCAGCCAATCCTACCTAAGTTAATTATTAAAAAAATCCGTATTTCTACACTGAGTCACGCGCAGATACTTTCGAAATGGGACTCTAGTAATCTGCATTTAATATCTTGTCTAGTGCTCTCTTCAAAATTCTTAGCTCTGGTGCTTCAACTACTTGGACGTAACCTTAATATAATCGTTTCAAGAAATAGAATGAAACGCTTGAACTGTATTCGGACGGTATTTTTATTTATAATTTTGTGTAAAAATGATTTTTTTCACTTAAAATAAGTTTCAATGAAATTTAGCTGTTGTTAATATCTAATATTAGCAATATATTTAATTCTTTCTTAATATTGTAATTATAGGATCACTATGTATTACATAAATACACTGTGATACATAATATTATATCTGTTTCTATTTTTAAACATCTTATTTACTTTCACTTTTTGTAAAAAAATAATAAAAAAGAATTCTGTTGATACATTTATACAAGTGTTTTGATTTAACATGCTATAAAATGGTTTGTATTAATAATTCTAAGTGATTGATTATATAAATTATAATTATATTGTTACCTATATAATATCATATATCAATCCGATAAAATTTTTTCATCGATATTCTGGTAATATTGTCACCATAACATTGGAACAACTTTGTCCTACATAAGTAACTGAAACGTCGTTCCCTAGTGCATAGGATGCACTCTGAAAGATAATTCAGATGGCGGTTTCGAGTTGATCGGCGACCTCGACGTAGAACTGAATAGGCCACAGGGTCACTTGCTCATAGACTGTTTGAATCGATTTAACATTCAAATACATTCAAATAGAACTCATTACACCACTCAGCGTGCAGGATACATATAATTCTTGCCATCCTCAGCCAGAGAGCTTATGGCTTAAACGGTAAGAATCATTGTGACACGTTGCACGAACTGCTCCCGTGATTTTATCATTTATTATTGCGCATATTATACAATTGGAACGGTGTATGTGGAGCAATGCACGCATACGACACCAATTGGACTACCCGTTTCCCTATTCACGTAAGCTTGTTTCACTTATTTTTGGAAATGACAAGTTACAGTTACATTTATCATAAACTCTAAATTCTACATGAATTTAACATATTCGAAAAATGTTATACTTATTGAATATTGTTACAAGACTGTTAAAAAAAAGAGAATTCAGCAACCCAGTGAACCTGATACCTACAAGCTTCTTATAAACATAAAATTTGTAGAAATTCAAACGAAACAAAAAGAAATGGATTCTTCATCTATTACACAAGCATAAGAAATCCCAGAATGGGACAGAAATATTTCGATTAAAACTGCACTCGCATTCGATTAAATAAATTAGTACGAGGTAATACAACCTACGCCTAATGCAACCATATTTACCAACAAAACAATAATACGCTGCGTAATCCAGCAACAATTTTCAAATATCTTCGAATGCAAATGTATCTTAAATAAAATGAAAATAATGTAACCCTAAAAGACAACTAAAACACAAAATGGTGCTAAGAAATTAAGAACGTAACGAAACAATACCGAAAAGAATAGATAAGAAAACCCAAACAAAACAGGATCAAAATGTCACAGCAAAGGAATGAGCAACAAAGCATCAAGTTTCCAAAGAAAGCAACCTTTATGATTCCAAAATTCCCGAAACAAATCGATTAATTAAAGCCGCCAGTGGTAATGCCGCGCGTCGTACGCGCTGGATCATCGCGTCGCACGATCCTCCTCACCATCGAGCGGTCCGTTTGCCGGAACAGTCCGATAGAGGCGCTCGGCGCGGCTCGCTTGCCGTCAGGACGTGGTCAGATAGTCGTGAGCCCGTCTGCGGTGCGGACGATCGTGTGCGACGTCGCTCAGCTCGCTTCTCGGTCGCGTGTGTGTCGTTGCTCGCTCAGAAATCTGTGGCGTGTCCTGTCTCGTCTTGTCCTTGGCTGGAAAAGAACCGGGAGAGGAGATGCTGCTGCCCGCTCATCCGGATGGTCCGCGCGCATTCCTCTCGCGCGATCACGGTTTCGCCGGGCCACGAGAGAACTCGATCCTGTGCCAGTGACTCAGACCCTTTTACTTTTCCCAGTCCCTTCCCTCGGGACAGGCCGATCGGCGGCCCCGAAGTGCCTCGCTCGCGACTTTCTTCGATCGTCGCCCACAGTTTCGTATCTTCCGAGGCGTGGAACTTTCAAGCGACCGTGGGTCCGCGGTTCGGTCGCGCGTCCTTGCGCGAGTCGATGCTGTGTGGCATTTCTAGGAATATTTGCTAGATCCTTGACTGCTTAGTGTAACACAATCTATAAGTGAACCTCCGGTTGATCGTTACTGGAGGATGTTCTTTTGATGTGACCATTGGCAAGGATTAGAGTCGAAGGATTCGCTAGGCAATTAACAGGTGATAGATCCTGGTACCATTCTGTTGGTGAAGTTTCTCCGGTAATCTTGAGATCCGCGGGCTCAGCGTGTAATGACTCTCCGAGCTGGCTACTACGCAGAGGTCAACGATAAGCCTGGCAAAAACATCGGTTGATAGAGGGAACAGTGGCGCGGCTGAATAGCGTACCGCTATCTTGCTTACAACAGTGCTCCGTGTTCCGTGACCGTATTTGTTTTTCGCGGTACACGTGCTTCTGCCCGACGAGAGAGGCGCTCGACGGGTTTATATTTAGAGGAGTCGCGACCGGCGAAGAAATTCGGGGCCCTCGACCGCTGCGCGGCTTTCTGGCCCTTCGCCGGGCCCACTGCTTGGAAGACGGGGAGGGAGTGTAAGGTGAATTCGAGGATACCACCGGTAGATGGTCCGGGGACACGCGGATGGTGCGTTCGGAGTAACTTTTCTTACGGGCAGAGACACCTAGTCACATGCGTGACACAGATTCAGTTGGTGTCTTTTGGAGATAAGGCCGACGATTCGTGCATCGTTGATGATCAAATGGACGCGGGCTAGAATTGATGACATTTGGTGTTGTTTAGTGATACACGATTTTTGAGTATCTTTGAAGAGTAGAATTACTATTCTGTGAATCGACGGTTGTGATTAAATGGGAATGGAGTAGAGCCGTTAGTGACATTCAGTGGCATTTGGTGACACTCAGTTTTAGAGCATTCCAAGCTACAGGAATGAGATAGAGTGAATCAAATAGTTGATTGCATTCAGTGTCATTCAGTGACATACTTTTTCGGAGTATCTTCGGAGGCTAAAATTGCTGATCTGTAAACCACCGATTACCAAATAGAAATAGAGTAGAATTATTGATTATATTTAGTGTGATTTAGTGATATACATTTTTGGAGTATCCGCGGAAGATAAGTTAGATGCAAATAGTCATTCAGAGTTAACCAAGAACCTACTACAAGCTTCCACTTAGCAGGTAGAGAACATTGTGACCTTTTAGTCGATACTCCTAGTTGTAGCTCAGAAATCAGTACTAAGTAGACACAAGGATCTATCGCAACGATTCATCCAGTAGCCACTGATGGCAAGTGATCAGGTGCTCACCATTGCGACATGTTGAACGCAGAGAATCTCGAGGAATCCCCTAAGCGGAGGTCGACGTTCTATGTATCACTGGATGGGGAGGCCCGACACCCATCTAAGATCCCAAAAACGATCAGTTCAGAGTCGGATAAGTTCGCCAGCAACACGTTCCCAATCAGCACTTCAAAAACAGTGCCAACCGTAATCCTGACTCGCACTTTGAGCAACAATGAATCGGTGTCGAAGAGGACGACGGCGGAGGACGCGTTGTTTCCTGAATCTAGGGGCAAAGTGCAGTCCCTTACGAAGATATTCGAGACACCAAAGGCCGAACATACCGGTGGCGGATCGGAGCAGCGGAAAAAGGTCGAGAGGACCAGGTCATTCAAGACTATAGAGAGATTCCAGAGCCGGTTCACTGGTAGGAAGGATGCCAGCCGGAAAGACAGCCGCTTGAACAACACAATTGCCTGCTTCGAAGTGGAAGACCAGGACTCGAAGAAGAAGAACGAAGACAAGCGATCCAGCGGGAAGATCATCGACTCAAAAGCTAACGGATCGACGAAAATACCCAGTTCCGAGCCGAGGAACAAGCAGAATGGCGGTGGCACTACGTTCACCAACTTGTTGATACGTAGAACGCACAGTACCAAGCTAGCCAGGAGCACCAGCACGCTGGTGAAGGTGGGTGGCAGACACGTGTCCGTGGACAGTCCGTGTAGCGTTGTCACGCCCGCCAGGAACGAGAATCGTTCCGGTAGCGAGAAATCGAAGGATGACGAGACGCCAGATCATTCTGTCGTGGATAATGACGAAGGCACCGAGTCGTCTGTGTTCGAGGACGCTGACGCGGACGCTGGGATACATTCAGGTAGGGTTTGGAATGCAGGCAATGACTTAACCGTCCATGTATTTGTTCGACGGATATATTTTTCGTATTTTTGACTTTCGCAAGGGAATGGTGGAGGAGACACTTTTGAAACTTGTTAACCAAAATTGCGATTTCAAGACACTCGTTTTGTTTTCATTCTTTTCGTAAAGTAATGATTCGCTGCGGTACAGACCTGTGGTAAACTGCTTTAACGGTTCGATAGTTTAAGCCTTCACAGTGTTGCCACAGTGACATCATAAACATGATAGTGAAATATATAACTACCAGGATAACACTTTTCTATTGATCCACGTTTATATTTGTCTACTTTGATTACGCGTGTAAATATAACATTATAGTTTGATAGAGGTTGGTATTTAATGGATACTCGATAAAAACCTTCATTAAAAACAGCGTGAAATTAACAAAGAATTGTTTTTATAAGAAAATGTGTCAAATATTATATTATCCTGTGGTTAATATTTTTGTTTAATTGAGTGCAATAATTTGAAATAGATCTTACTTCATCATCAACTTAAAGTTGCATTGGAGCAAAAATATTATACTTGATATCAAAATACATTAAATCTATGATTTACAATGTTACTAATAAAAAAACATAGCAACAGGTTCTTGATTCTGATATAACAAGGGCTGCGTATAGTGTTACAAATAATTTCATTAGAAGTCAGCTGGTGACATAATTCTTTTTTTAGGCTTTTAGGTCAAACTAGAGCCCTTTTCGTGATATATGGGACACATTGTGAGCCACCCCAGGTGGCAAAGAGATCTCACCCCTTATTTCTGAAACTAGGGTTCCATATAAATTCTTATACATTTGATAGGTTTTAAAAAAGCAGATAGTATTTATTCGTAACGCCTTCAATATTTCACTGTATAAAGAACAAAAATATTCTACGGTGAAAGCACGTTAAACTTCACTATTGTCACTATAAATCAAAGATTATCATTTCAATTCTATTCAATGTTAGTAATTCCTCTCTTTTAATTCTAAATCTACTATAAAACAATAACGCGTATAAAAATATTTAAAATGTTACTAAGCAAATCCCAATACAACAAGAATTTGAATAACTTAATTTTATTTATCAATATACCATATAACATAAACGTAACAACAAAAATAGACCAAACCCAACAGGCGGTTTTCAACATTTAACTTCTCCATTACAATCAGGTTTCCCCTCTCCAAATCTATACCACAAGACATATCCTCTCAAAATAAATTATTTAACGCGTTACAGACATCATTACGTCAGGCAGCGTCGTATTACCGTGAATACGTTCACCCAGCATTCCGATCTTTTGAATAAATCAAGATTCCCCCGTCTGGAGTTTAGCCTATGCAAGATTTAATATTCAAAAGAAAGAAAGAGGAAGAGGGAGAAAGGGAAGAGAACGTAGAAGCAAAGGGTTTGGTCCTAAGAAGGTCGCAGAAAAGTTAGGCAGGAGGAAGTAAGATCGTGGCGGCCTTTTTTTTAGAACCTGAACGGCAGGTGGCCGAAAAGAGGTCCGCTTTGTAAGTAGGTCCTCTGGGTTCTTAACGCAGGTCCTTTAGAGACTCTCGTCCCCATGTGCGCAGGACGAAGCCGGATCCCAGAGGTTTGCATGTCGTCTAATTACAGTCACTTCCACAAGACCTTCGTTAACCTTGTCATTCCTGTCCCGTTACACAGGAGCTTTATAAATATTAAACGTCGCCGGGACATTATTAAAAGCTACTCGATCAGCCCGTTTAATTCTGCGTGAAATTTAATTATGCTTAGGCGTGCGGTTAGCTGGCTGCTAGAATAGTTTCGCTTTGTTTGCGGCTGATCGGCCGAGAATTCTTGACAACGATACGCGTGCCGTGGTTAATTTACGTGTAAGCGTTAGTGTTTTGGTGTTGTTAGTCTATGAAAAAGAGAGAACCGTATATTCTGTGCAATATTAGTTTATTTTAGATAGAATATAAAATTTCACACATTGTCAGATTTTTAACACTAAACTTACCAAGCAGTTAAATTGGCTTTTTAAAATTCCTCTATAGCAACTTCAATAGTGCATCTATCGAGACTTTAATTGATTTACGATTCAGTTTACGTATTAAGAAATAAGAAATCAGGAATGGGTCACTTTAATCAATCTGGCAGTTTCAGTATTAATCGAAATTTCGAAATGAAAGTGATTTGGAATTTTGCAAATAATTCGAAATGCGTCTATCACTCATGCTTTTGTTTTATTTCATGCAACTTGGCGTTATTTTATTTTAGTTGTTATTTCATTGATCACTCTGTTATAACTGTAAAAATTATACCCATAGAATTTGATTAAAAGTAAAATTAAAAGAGTAATACAAAAGTCAACGAATTTTAAATTCTAGTTAAGATTAAAGGGGAATGTAATTCAGAGTCATTTATTTGCTCTTCATCGAGGTGCACTTACTCCAAAATTCAGCCCTTCACTTAAGAATACTCTATTTAATTCACTCACAGTTATTCAGAATCTTCTCACCAAGCTTTCAACGCGGTTATAATGAGTACCAACTTCCAATGGTTCTGAAACTTTCATCCATCATAACACGATTCACAAGGGAACTGAGTGGAAAGTGAAGTTCGCGAGTACGTGGTAGGAATAGCGCGATTTTCTTCAGAGGAACAGGTGGTAGAATCTCGTCCAGGGTCTGTAATCGGGTGTCCTTAATTATCGAGGCCCTCGCCGTTCGGAGAAGAAATAAAAAGGCCGGCATTCGTCCGCCGTGTGCAATTTCTGGCCAGCTAACGGGACCGATAAATTCGTCGACGGAACGCGAATTTCGATTAGTTCCTCGGCTTGATTTACGAGGGCAACCTCCCCTTCGAATCCCTCATTTCCTCTATTCAACACTTTGCAGCGCTTCCTCACCCCCTGTCACACTTTTTTTTATGGGAACGTGTCAATTAGAAATTTGAGGCAACACGGTCGGTTCTTTGGCATTGTGGGTAGAATGATTTATAGAACCTGTAATTTCGAAATTTATTAGGCCCTAAAAGTCGTTGTAGGTTTTAGAGAGCTGTACAGGCATTTCTTTGGGTTCCTGGATTTTGTAAAGTTTTATAGGGGGTTTTTATGACGAATACGTTTGATCTTGAATTTTATCCTTTCTTCAGATTTCAGATTTTATAAGGCGTTTATAGAATATTTTACGAATAATTATCTTGAATTTTATTTTCTTTCGAGATTCTTTGATATTACAAAAATGTTGTAGGATGTTTTATTTCTTGAGACTTTAACCAGTTAAGTGCGTTCGATGAATACACGCGTCATCTTAAAACTCGAAACGGTGCTAATTCTTTCAACCTCGAATTATTTATTTTGTCAGATAAACGTGTAATTCTTCGCTTTGCTATAATTTAAAATATACTAGGGGTGCATTTGTACTGCGTTTGACCGGTATATACTTCATTGTTTGATTTTATTGCGCACACAATGAAATACTTTTGTAATTATTATATATTCCATAGTTAACAGGCTAAATTTGGTTTTTTTTGAAATCTTCAGGTGTGACAAAACACCTAACGTGACATTTAACGAAGGATAAATTTGATAATGAATTGTATCCTTATTTGGTTGTTTAAATTTTGTAAAGAATTTTATAGAACATTGTATGAAAGGTAAATTTGATCTTGGATCCAAGTTTTCATTGGATTTTTAGGATTTTATGAAGAATTTTATAGAACGTTTTATGAAGAATAAATTTGATTTTTGGATTTAGAGAAAGATTATGAACGCTTCGAGAAATGTATATGAATTTCAAATTCTTAAAAATGATCTTAGTAAGAGATCTTAGTAAATGATCGAGTAAGTTACTCTGAACTAATATACGATACAATAGTGACACAGAAACACGGGCTCCACGTGCTTATAAAATGTAATGATGTAATAAATGCGAGTATTCATGAATTATATATGCTTTGTGCTTCGTTGACTTGCAAATAGACGAACAAATTCCTCGTTTCACGTCCGATGACCGTACTGAATTCTTTGAGGGAACTGGCTTGTCTCGGGTCTCGTTCACGCCCGGAAGCAAACAATTATCACTCGTTATATGCTCCACCGGCGAATTCGAAAGAGCACAAAATGATTTAACGTAGCCCATTAACCCTTCATACAGCGTCTTCCAGTCCGGTGCATAGAACTGCGGGAGAGAAAAATCGATCAGTAATTCCCATCCTTGGTGCACCGGTCTTTGAACTGTTTACAAGTTCAATTTGTGTATAAATATTGTTGACTTTATTATCTAAATAATTTTGTAAATTAAAACAGTACTATAAATAGTATTTTTTAAGCTTTAGTCTGTTAATTTCATATTTCATAACTTTTGGTATTACTACTTAAATTAATTTTCGTGTATTTTGTGTGTTTCAGGTAAGTCATTTTTACAATCAAAAATCTACTATCTAGCCTGGACAAATATTTGTTTATCTGGTCGAGATACAAAATATCAGTAAGTAAATTTAATTAAAACTTTATATAACAGTTCATTGTATTTATTCTTGCACGAAAAAAGTGAAATTGGAGTTTCAAGAATTATTTGCGCATCTTTGAAAACTATTCAAAAGTTTTAATTTCTGAATATCATTGTACGTCTGAATATAGATAATCTTGAAAAAATAAGTATAATTACTACTTCGCAAAATGAAATCTTCGCAATTCACAATTCAATGCACAAAAATCGATTTTTCTCCAAACCTATAAAAACCTCGTCCCTACGAATTCAGAAAAACGGACCAGAAATAGCCTAATACCTACCACAGTAGATTCGATTAATCACTTCTCGCAATTCCCGCTGAAAGATCATCGGGCGTGTTTCCGCGCGAAAGGAAAATTAAACCGTTGAACAAAAGCGCCTCAGACACGGAGCGCTCGCTGAAATATTCATGCGAGAGGCACTTATGTCCACTCCACTTTCGAACCGAGCCGCTACCACGGATCATTAGAAAGGGCAGAAATGACGTAGA